TAAAGGTCTGCGTATGCTAAATTCACATGCTGAATATGATTAATTTTAAGCAAGATTTTAACTAATTTAAGGAAAACTGCATCTATTTTTAAATTGAAACTGAATAGGTAACAATGCAAAACCAAGGAAATGCCAATCTACCTTAAGTTGTCAACCAATGATTGTGTGAATGTCAAATTTTATTTTGTATAACCTCCGTTAGGCTTTTGTCTAATTCGAACAAGTTTCAAATTACAAAATGCAGTAGTAGTGTAAACAGCACAGAAATAACATTTGGCAATGATAAAATCAGAAGTTTACAACTTGAGGTATGTTGACATTTGTCTGGTTTTGCTAAAAATCCATTTTTTTTTATTTTCAAAGTAAAATAAGTCGGTTATTTTGGACCTGCATTTGAAAAACGGCTGAATAATGTTTCTTTTATTGAAATCTGCCAGCCCTGAAAATATTTGTCCTTATTTAATACTCACCCTGTATATTAACAATATTTTATACAACTGTATTTACATGTTTCTTTTTAATTTTCTCTAAAACGGTATGGAAATTTGGAAAAGTATAAACGGGATTAACGAATTTAGAACAAGCAAAAATTTATATGAAGAATGCATTTTTGTCAAAATGTCAATAATAAAAAAAGATTTTCCTCTTGTAAAGACAATCCGGGGACATATTATATATAAGTTATGTACATAAATAAAAGAAAATAATCTTCTATTAAGATAGATATGAAACTTAATAGTAAAATTATGGGTCAAAGCGCCCCTCCGTGTTCTTAGTAGAGACTACGTTTAACCCAGCGCCTTCGCCTTTTCTGCTGTAAATATTTTTTATGTTTATATTTGATTTCAAAGGATTTAGTTTTAAAGTTACACTGATATATTAGTATATCAGAGTAACTTTAATAAAACATAAGAATATATATATATATATATATATTTTACAGTTTATTAAATATAAATTTTGACTACAAGGTAGAAAGTAAATCACAATATTTGATAAAACTTATAAGTATACCATTTTTACAGTTAATAAATAATAAAACTATTTCTGACTATGACATTTAAAATTTAGATAGATAGAATATTAAAAAACATACCGGTATTTGAAGACGCAAGCCCAAATTCAATAAAAACCAAAATATTTCCTGCGAAAATCGGGCTTTTTTCACAGAAAAGCTATTTTTTGATTTATCAACAATCATTGTCAAGTTGACAATATACAGGGTGTTTTCTAATTAGTCTAAAAAATTGTGGTGTGATTCCTCATGTGTTCTTAAAACAATTTTTATATAACCATTAGGTCTAAAGTACTTCCTTTCTGATCTACAGGGTGTTAAAAATTAAAAAAAAAATCGATATTTTGCTTAACATAAAGGATACATTACTGCTTTTTTAAGGATTTTTTTCTTGACTGGCCATCCTTTTTCAACAAAATTGATCTTTTGAGTTTTTCTTGTTCATCAAACGGTTGCCGAGAAAAAAATAAATATACTTATTAAGAGCCTTATGCCGTTTTCTAACGATTTTTTATTTTTTAGATTAATTAGGAAACACCCTGTATATGCATATCACAGGCAACCAAATAAACTAGTAACCTCTAAAAATTATTTTTCCTACCACTAGCGACATACCGTGTTTTTAGTGAGTACTAAATTATTTTATCAAAATTTCACCATATAAGTTTCCAGGCAATGGTTATGTATTATTTTTTTTATCTCATCAAAAATTATCACGAAATCAAAAGGCATGTCAAAATTAAAATGAAAGGTATACCAAAATTATTTTTTCAAGCAACATGTTAATTATAATTATAAAAAGAAATATAAATATTAAAGAATTATACCGCATGGTCGAAAAAAAAGCAGCGTCCAGGTGGCTTGATAATAAGGATCAATCCCGGATGCGTATTTCCATAATATACTATATGTAATTATATATATAATTAACTATGGATGGGTTTAAATATAAATCCGTCATACGTCGTCTCTTGTTGTTTTTAACCAGTTTTATTGCTTTATTTCAAAAATGACAGATCGTATTTCAATTTTATTGGTTTGACGGAACGATGAACGACAAACGGACGCCGATGCGTATGAACTCGCCTTTAGATTTTAGACACTTGTCAAAGTCTTGCCAAATTAGAGGTTATAATTTTGTGTCAACTTTTGTCAGTTTTGTCAAATACCCTGCGTTTTGGAAGATGATGCATTTTGATTCGTGTTATTACGTGTGTTTTGTGTCTTTCAAAGTCAAGTGGAGGAAAAATCGAGTGAAAATTAACTGTAGACCAAGAGCACAGTTTATGGTTAATACTCGCTGCCCAGGCAAAAAGTCTTATACACCATAAAGTTACCATCATTAAAGTTCGAATACCATCTCGTCGTAGATAAGTGCATCTCGAATATGGTAGAAGGACCATACTAAACACATACTAAAAACTGGAATAGCTGTAAAATATCGAAATCACACGATACGTAAATAATGGATTTTAGTACTGCACAAGAAAATAATGCCAAAGGTACTGGTTTAAAAAATTAAGATTAAAGTTAATTAATCAACCTTTAAGGTACCTATAAAATTTGATAAGTGTTATTAATAATAAAATAGTTTGTTTTATTTATTCCTGCGGAATATTACAAATTTGTATTTTTACATAAGTTATATTGATAAATATAATCTCATAAATGTGGGAAGTTTCATAAAGCTTGAAAGTAAGAAATAGTTCTTTTTTATATTTTTTTGGTATGTGGTGTCTTGTTCTTGTTTGTTTTGTATTAACACATACCGTTTTTATTAAATTAAATAACTCGATTACATTTTTTCAGTTTTATACAGTTTTTTTCACAATATTTTGAAGTAATCACTTGACAGTCAAATTTTAAATATAATAATTTCCTGCTATGCGTTCCAGTTGTACCAACTTATTTCTTTGTAAAATAAAATAAACTACTTTGAAATTAAAATGACAGACACATCTATCACTGTCAAGAATCTTCTCGTTGGACAGACTATAGTATGGAGTTCTTCTCAGAGTTACAACGTGATATAGCTACGTGAACACTTCTTGCATTTTGCGTTGAATTAGCGAGTTTGCGACCGTTGCAAATTGTAAACAAGCATCAGGAAACATGAAGTAAAATTCTCGATATGTATAATGTGCCTCAGCTTCTCAGCTTCACAAGTCAACAGCTGGCTATTTACCAAAACATAGTGCTGTAAGTAACGCTACACCTAGGTATATAAGTCGAACCTCAAAGACGTGTATGCTCTCTACATGTATGCTCTCTGCATGGTATATTATGGAAATACGCATCCCGGATCTACAATTTTTATGAACGAAGAGAGCCAGAAACTTGATAGTAGCGCCTCCTCTCACCAGCATTTGATATAAATTATTTAAAAAAAAATACAATATACAGGGTGCTCCGAACTGTATTCCGGAAACTTCGGCAGCATATTCTGCTGATAAAAACAAGTAAAAAAGTTCGTATAAATGTATGTCCTAAAATGCTTAGTTTCGGAGATACAGGGTGTTGAAGTTTAATTTTTATTTCGATTTTTTCCAAATAATTTCTGAAGTAACGTCAATATTTGGATAAAAATTGGTGTCTGGGAGTTTTGTGACATGAGAAATTTGATTTTGATGCCAGTATGCCTCCTAGGGGGCGCCACACACATGTGTTTTAACTGTTTTGAAGAGTAATAACTTTTCGTCCGTACCTGTATAAAACTACTGAATGAAAAAATATACATTTTCGTGATGTTTTACGTAAAAAATGTCTCTTGAAGATGTCTCTAATAATTGCTACGAGCAACCGTTCTCAAGATATTAAGAATGGAAATAGTCAATACATGTCTTTCTTGACTAAAAATAAACATGTTGAGTAGATAGTTATTTGAGTGAAATGATAAAATGAAACTTGGGAAAATTATATATTGGAACTTTTTATTTCAGTCTAATAACTATTTAGTCAACGTGTTTAATTTATGTCAAGGATGACATGTATTGATAATTTCGATTCCAAATATCTCGAGAACCCTTACCCGTAGCGATTTTTTTACGTAAAATATGTCGCAAATGTATCTTTTTTTAATCACTAGTTTTATACAGGTACGGATGAAAAGTTATTACTCTACAAACCAGTTAAAAAATATGTAGATGGCGCCCTCTACAAGTAGAAGTCATATTGACAACAAAATCAAATTTCTCATGTCAAAAAACTCCCAATCACCAATTTTTATCCAAATATTGACGTTACTTCAGAAATTCAGAAAAAACAGTTTCTAAAGTAAGATTTAAAAAAAAAGTTAATTTATAAATAGCAAAGCAAATAAAAAATGTTTACAATGTAAATATTCAATCTGCATGAAGAGTCTCAACAATTAAAAATGTTATTAAAATTACGTCTGGTCAAACAGTGATGTATGCCAAACAAAAATTAGCACTTGTCTTGAGTAAACACACTATGCAGTTTAACTAAAAATGTAATTAATTTTTCTTAAATTACCATTTATAGAACTATGAAATACAATTACAATAAGTCGTAATATTCTGATATATCCTTGTTTCTTTAGGTATGTGACTATTACTGCAGTTTCCTTGAATCAGTACTGCCACTATTAATAAATGAGAACTGATAAAGAAGTACTGTTGTAAAAAATAACAATAACAATGTGATTTTCCTATCATTAAAGCAGTTTATATTAATTAATATTTAAATTTTTGCAAACTCTTAGTATCTGCAGAGTTTATTGATTTGTTTTGAAGCACCCAACCAATTATAATTAACCATGTACCTTATTTACAACTGGACTTTAGTATAATATCGTTTATTATAAACTAAACTATTATAATGAGAACAAAATGCATAATATTTTGCCAGTCTATATGTGCATCAACAATAATTAAAATAATGCTGTATAAAATTATAAATTAGCTGTGTAAACAAGATTTTCTATTAAGCATGTAAAAAGGTGGTATATGTTTTGCAGTTGTTTTACCTTATTTTAAGTCTGTCTGCAATAATTCTAATTCTTGAAAGGCTCTGGATTTAATTGAATACTTCTGTAACGGCTTCTTCCAGTTTGATTTAGTAATGTTATAGAATCTGAAACAAAATATAATTATTAGTATAATATTAAATATCGACAGCAGTATCAATATATTTAACAATCTACAAAATCAAGTTGCAAAAGACTTGAACCATTATTTAAAAATATTGGTATTCAATAATGGCATAAGTTTTCAATTTTATTCTTTGGGATGCTTCATAGACTATACCGGGTGCGTCTCAAAAGTGGCTCATCCCTATAATAATAAATGCCTTTATTGTCAAAAAATTTTTCAATTTGTAGACAAAGGTAAACTAACAAACAAAGTAAAAAAACAAGGTACACAAACAAACAAACAAAAGATAATACAAAACATTATACAACTAATATTGTCAGTCTTATTATTAAAATAAACATTTATATATGTTTATAATGTCAAAGAACAAAAAATAAAAATAATATTCAAAAATATTTAGCTAGTTTATAGTAAAATATCAATGACCTCTAAATAAATTCATTTCGATGTCATTAGTAAATATAGCAATAGCAAACATTAGACCAGTGTTTACAAGATCAAATTTGATTTTCAAAATATAATTCGTTTACGGCGTAGAAAGCCTTGTCTAGTAAATAAGAGTTCAATGCTTTGCGAAATGAAAAAAATGATGTTATGGATTTGATTTCAAATGGCAGGTGATTGTGCATTTTTTTCGAGTTGTATAGTATTGAACTTTTAACTAACTCTGAGCGTGGGGTAGGTAGATAAAGATCTTGCTCCGCGTTCCTGAGTGGATAAGTGTGAGATGACCTTCCTTGAGAAGCTGATACATGTTTACCTATTAGGAAAATGGATTCAAATATAAATAAGGAAGGAAGAGTCAATATTTTTAATTTTTTAAAAAAGTTCTGCTGTTTAGTCCCAGTGAATATAGAACAGCTCTCTTCTGGAGCCTGAAAATGCGGTCAAATTGAGTCGCACAACACGTACCCCAGAATGGAAGGGCATACCTGAGGTGCGACTCAAAAAGTGCATAATAAACAGTTCTAGCCACTGACAAGTTAAGCTCCTTAGAAACAGTACCTTAATGCAAAACAGGCAGAGCTCAATTTTTTGACAAAGCTTCGATATGTATGTCCCATTTCAGAGAATTGTCCACAACAAGCCCCAAGAACTTTACAGATTTGACGACGTCAATGGTGGTGTTGTTAAGTACAAAAGGCTGCAACGAGTTTTTATACGACAAAGCTTTAGTTTTAGAAATGTTGAGAGTCAGGAGGTTCGAATCGCACCAAGATTTAATGGTGATTAAGTCATTTGATATAATCCTATGAAGTGCCGTGATGTCCTTGTTGTTCCAAGTGAAGCTAGTGTCATCCGCAAAAAGACATATTTTGCCACTGATGTTTATGTTAGCAATGTCGTTAATAAAAAGAAGAAACAAAATAGGGCCTAGTACTGGGCCTTGTGGTACTCCACATTCTATTGGCTTGCTAGAAGACAACGTGGTATCCACCCTCACAAGTTGACTTCTGTCGCTCAGATACGACTTAAACGATTCGAGAGATGATCCCCTGAACCCACAGTGCTGCAGTTTATTAATTAAGATCTTATGATTTACACAATCGAACGCCTTAGAAAAATCACAGAAAATTGTTGCTGTAGAATGATGGTTGTTTAGGCTGGAGTAAACATTATTAAGCAGGGAAAACATAGCGTCATTTGTGGACTTGTTGCTTCGAAATCCAAATTGATATTCAGTAAGTATTTTGTACTTAAACAGAAAAGCCTTCCAAAAGATACCAGCCTTCTTTTAACCAACCTTTCTATGATCTTAGATAGCGTTGGAAGGAGTGCAATTGGGCGATAGTTAGAAGCTTCATCTTTGTCTCCGCCTTTATGCAGAGGAATGATTATTGCCGTCTTAAGACATTTTGGAAAAATACCATTTTGGAACGACATGTTTATTAAAGTTGTTAGGTGATCAGAGTGCTTTCTGGCAGATTCGAAAACATTTTTAAAGTTAGCCCGTCGGTCGCACAAGAGGATTTATTTTTGATGGTATTAATTGTACTGCGAAGCTCTTCTAAAACTACGGGCGAAAAAAAGAAACTGTGTAAGTTTACAATATCATTAGAGAGATAAGAAAGTGGATCATGAGGAGGACATATGGTATTAGTTAAGTTTTTCGCTACATTTACAAAGTAATCGTTAAGGTTCTCAGGTATAGAGATATTGCTAGACGAAGAAGCTTTGTTTCTCAACTCATTCACAATAGACCATGTTTCTTTAGCAACATTACCAGAATTGACTATTCTCCTATTATAATAAAGGTCCTTAGCGGCTCTTATAGTCTTATGATAAATTTTTCTGTATAGTTTTACGTAATTGTGGAAGAAGAGACTGTCTGAGAAATTTTTTAAGTGAGATAATGAACGCATGTTTTTAGAAGATATGTGTAGACCTTTAGTGGTCCAAGGTTTATTATGCTTATTTTTTATAGGCCTAAGAGGAAAGGATTTGAACGCTAGACTGGTTAATGTTTTTACGAAAATAGAAAATTCGGTGTCGACATCATAAGAGCTAGTATCCCAGTTGATTTTTTTACATAAGTGGCTGAACTTTTGAGCATTCTTTTCTGAAAAAATACGGCATAATTTACGAGGGGCATTTTTGATATATATATAACTTTTTATTTTATATATATATATATATATATATATATATATATATATATATATATATATATATATATATATATATATATATATATATATATATATATATATATATATATATATATATATATATATATATATATATATATATATATATATATATATAACTTTTTATTTTTTCAGATAAAAAAATGAGATTTGGTATGTTAGTATATGACATAAATTAGGACCGATTGACGTATTCAGTTCTTTTCGGACACTTCCTGTTTCACCGGAAATGACTACAACTTTTGATTTCTAAATGCCATAGAAAATGACACTCTAAATATAATGACATATCATAATATCATATGTCAACTTTTGACATTTTGGCTTAAAACAAAATTGTATTTTAAATTTCAATCTAGAGTGACATGGCTGTATTAAAAATACTATAGAGAAAAATACTAATTTTTAATCCAGGAGCCTTGGAAAAATAGATTTGATCGTCTAATGTTCTTAGTGTCTTATCCTGGCTGGTTAAGAGATGCGCAAATCGTATCTCAATTTTTTTTAAATCATATCTCAATTTTTTCAAATGGAACGAGGATGGCTCATTTGCATATTTGGAAAAGGCATTTTTTACGAATAATTTGGTAACACACACTTGGTATTTCGAGTCAAATTGTCGTTATGATTCGCATGTGGCAATTTCAAATAAACCAATGTCAAAAGTTGACATATGATGTCATTCTATTCAGAGTGTCATTTACTATCGAATAAAGTAACAAAATACAGAGGGTGCCATTTAAAAATCAAAAGTTGTAGTCATTTCCGGTGAAACAGGAAGTGACTAAAAACAATTGAATAAGTACGTCAATTAATCCTAATTTATGTAAAATACGAACATATAAATTTTCGACAAAAATAAAAAAGTTATAGGGGTGAGCCACTTTTTAGATGAACCCGATATATATCTTTTCTATGAAATGCTTAAATTATTTTTTGTCGAATTAATTTTTTTAAATACTATATTATGTTTGTTTTATATATATTTTTTTTATTAATACAAATGTATCGTTGGGTAATTAAATTAGAAAAGTAATTAGATATTATAAAAAAAAGATCCTAAAATCAACGAAAAAAAATATAAAAAAATAAAAGAATGAGAAAAAGATTTTTTTTCGCAATAACTAACTAATAAAAAGATGCAGAATATTGAAGAAATAGACAAAAAAAGTATTTGAAAAATATAAAATAAAGTTATATATATATTCGTTTTTATTCGAAGAAATGCAAAACTATTTTATGGACTGATTTCTCTCAGTATCTATAGTGTGACCAACGGATCTGTAGCTACGGGGTATCGGCAGGGGAATGCAGTTGTAAACAAAACACGCCCAATTTCATTCATAAAATAGGCATGGGCGTACGGTGTTATATGAAAATAATGTGTATCATAAATATAATACTCAGATTAATAATTTTTTTTCAAAAAACTGTATGCTGTTTGAATCGTACTGTTGAGTTAGCAGATAAACACTAAAAGCTTTTATTAAAGCTCCCTTAAATATTTTGAATCATTATATTATCGTGTTGTTAATATAATAGAAGAAATAATTACAGCTGGGGGTTGGAACCTTTGGTGTTACGCAGCAAAATAAAACACTAAATCAGTACAATACACCAAAACACTTTTAATTTTACACTGGACGCATGTTTCGCTAACCATGTCTGCCATCAGCAGATGATCAAGACTGAGTCTTGAGGTATATTTATTTATATATCTGTACTAACTATATTTTTTTTATAATACATAATTTTAGATATAACTATTTCCAGCAAAAAAATCTTGAAAATAGTTAACTTTGGAAGCGCAAACAAAACATAATTTTACTCACCAGTAGATCCAATATTGCCTATTACACCAGATATGGTATCGCTCCGCCAGCAGTTTTTAAAGGTTAGGTCATTGTCTACCCATATGTTACATCCAAATAGATAATACTTGGCTATATTTTCGAATTTCGCGTATATATATTTATATCTCTCTCTGCAATATAATGGGCCGCTCCATTAATATTTATCTGTTATTTTAACATTTACGCCAAAAAAATTCATTTGATTTTAATAACCCCCTAAGCGTTTCCCTGCAAAAGGAAAATTCGATTCTTCCTGCAATTTTTGCAAAAGCTTTCTAATTGTGGGGACGAGTTTGAATTCGAGATAAAATCTATTTATCAAATTCCTGACCACTTCGAAAAAGTCGTTGAGCTTTTCGACAGCAGTCTCACGTGGTCGTTTCTTTCCAGAGAGGATATCATTTTATCGGGGTTAGTTTTCAGCCTTTTTTTTATCTTCTGTGTGAATTTTTTTATAGCCGATACGCTAACTCCGGTAT